AAGTTCTTTATGATTTCTGTAGGTCAATGGCAGGAGTCACTGTGCAGCCATCAAAATTCTCTGACTTATCTCATGAAATGTTATTTCTGTTGCAAATAAAAGTTGCAAGACCTCTCTGAGCTAGATGAGCAGTGGACTAGCCTTTTGTACACTGTGACATTTTAAATTGTTACTGCAAAAACAAAGGACAAGCCAAGTATGCTGGCAAGCAGAACAAATTTAGAGCTCTATGATCCTGTTTATGAAATCAAAGAGGAAGCAGAATGGATTGAAAATTCTGTTGCCCTACTGTTTGGTGTTACTTAATTATTGCCAACTCACAGCAACCTTCTGTGTAAGGAGTGCAAGTTTGCTCCATTCTGTGTCCTACTCATTGTTGCTGCTAAGCTTCTGAGTCCATTGTTGTGATCACTGTCAGTCCATCTCATAGAGGCCCTGTCTTCCTCTCTTTTGCTGACCCTTAACAAGTGTGATGTCTTTCTTCAGGCAACTGGTTCCTCTTGGTAGCATGCTAAGAGTTGTTTTTGTTATTAGGTGCCATCAAGTTAAGTAGGACTAATAGCAATCCTATCTGAACCCTGTCCTATCCTGGGCCATTCTCGTCATCTCTGCCATACTTAAGCCAGTTACATACTTGCTGCAGTCACTGTCTCAGTTGAGGGATTTCCTCTCTTTCATTGACCCTCGACCTTTCCAAGAATTATGCCCATCTCTAGGGAACAGTCCTCTTAATAATATGCCCAAAGTATATGGGATGAAGTTTCATCATCCTTGTCTCCAGAGAGCACTCTGAATGCACCTTCTCCAAGCCATACTTGTTGGTTCTTTTGGCAGTCCATGGGATAGTCAGTACTCTTCTCCAACACTTGAACTCAAAGGCCTTCACTCTTCTTCTGTCATCCTTATTCATTGTCCAACTCTAAGATGCATAATAAGTAATTGAAAACACCATGGTTTAAATTAGGGACACCTTAGTCATTAAACTGGCATCATTTATCCTGAGTATTTTGAGGAGGTTCTTGACAGCAGACTTTCTCAGTGCAATACATCTTTTGATTTCTTAACTAATGGTATATAAAATGTTGATTTTGGATCCTAGTAAGATAAAAGCATCGATAGCTTCAACATTTCCCCTCTACCATGATAGATGGAGAAGAGATTGAGGTTGTTAACAATTACAACTTACTCGTCACCACAATCAACACTCTTGGCACCCATAGTCAGGAAATCAAAAGACGAATTGCATTAGGTAAATCTGCTGTGAAGGACTTCTCCAGAGTACTGAGAAGCAATGATGTTGGTCTAGAGATTAAGGTGTGCCTTATCCAGGCCATGGTCTTCGCAATTACTTGCTATACGTCAGAGAGCTGGACATTGACTAAGGATGTATGAAGAGGAATTGACATCTTTGAGTTGTGGTGCTAGAGAAGAGTATTGAACATACCATGGACTACCAAGAAAAAAAATAAAAGTAGGTGTCTTAGAGAGGATGAAACCAAGTTTCTCTTTGGAGGCTGGGATTTTGAGGCTCCATCTCATATAATCTGGGCATGTGGCCAGGAGAAACTGATCCTTAGAGAAGGACATCATGCTCGGAAGAGTGGAGGGACAACGCAGGAGAGGAAAACTTTGGATAAGATGAATTGATACAGTAACTAGTGCAATAGGGATGAGTGTGTCTGAGTCAGTGAGATTAGCTCAAGAAAGGGCAAGCTTCAGAGCTGTTGTACATAGGGTCACTATGAGTTGCAGGTGACTCGATGACACATAACAACAACAACAACAACAACAACAACAACAACAGCATCATGATGTTGCCTATTGGTCCAGTGGTAAGGATTTTTACTTTTTTGATATTGAGGTGTAATCCATATTTAAGCCTGTAGTTTTGATCTTCTGCAGCATGTGCTTTAAGTCCTTTTTGATTTCAGTAAGCAAGCTTGTACCATCTGCATAATGCAGGTTGTTGATGAGTCTTCTTTCAATCCTGATGTCACATTCTACTACATAAAGTCCAGCCTCTCAAATGATTTGCTAGGCATACAAATTAAATAGGTATGGAAAAAGGATGTAGCTCTGATGCACATCTTTTTGTTTTGTTTTGCTTTTACTTTCTTCTTAATTTTTTTAAATTTTATTTTATACTGATGTGTTTACCAAGTTTGAATACATTGTTTCTCACATGAGATCCTTCCCATTTTCTTCACCTCCCATAGAACTGTACAACCCTATGATTCATTCCCCAATCCCCCACTCATCCTCACCCCTCTGTTTCCACCCTCCCCACCTTGGATCTTCATACTCATTCTACAGTAATAGTTTTATACACTATTTGTCCTTGTGGGACTGAGTTAGTTCACTCTGATGCACATCTTTACTGATTTTTAAGCCATGTAGTATTTGTTCCCTTTGTTCAGATACCAGATTCTTGATCTAAGCATAGTTTTTGTGTGAGTGCAATTAAATGTTCTGAGATTCCAATTTTTCTCAATGTTAGTCATAATTTGTTATGATATTCTCAGTTAAACGCCCTTTTGCATTGTCAATAAAACACATAAAAGCTTTCTTCTGGAATTCTCTGCTTTCAACCAAGATTTATCTGACATCAGCAATGGTATCCCTGGTACCACAGCTTCTTCTAAATCCAACTTGAGCTTCTGGCATTCTCTGTCAGGGTACTGTTCATCTATTGAGAAACACTATGGGCAAAATTTTGAATGGTCCGGGAAGGATAAAAAAGGCAAGGTAGGGAACACACAGAGTCATTGTACCAAAAAGAACTGACTGACATGGAACTATTTCAGGAAATAGCATATTATCAATAGCCAATGGCGATGAAGAAAGAAGTTCAAACTTTACTGAAGGTATTGGCAGGAAAAACCAAATAAAGCCTTAGGAATTGATGGGATACCAATCGATATTTCAAAATAGCAGATGCAAACTTGAAGTGCTCACCATTTTGGGCCAGGAAATTTGGAAGACAGCTGCATACCTGGTTAACTAACTGGAAGAGAGTCATATTTGTTCCCATTCCAACACTAATCTTACTGCTTTCCTGGGTGCCAAATCTGATAAAATAGTTCATAGACCACACCAAACCATATTGTGGTTGTTGTTGATTGCTGTCAGGCCTGAAGCCCCTCTACAACTATGAACATTTCTCAAAGTTCTTAGAACTTCTGGTGTTATTTAGGAAGTGGATGCCACTCCTGCATAGGGAAGTCAGGGTGACAGGAAGATAGAGCTAGTCAGTACAGCTTCTGAAACATTCTCACAGGCATCTCAGCCCCCCATGGCTTTACACCAGTGGCTTTTAGTATTGTTAATTATGGCTGTACCCCCAGGCCTCCAACAAACTTGGACAAAAAGCTTATAGCTCTAGTTCAATGGCACAGCAGCCCTAAAGTCTGCTCCAGGTCACTAGTAGCTCCAGGATTCAGAGTTGTGTCTATTTTGTTGAATGCAGTATCACCAATAGCTCAATCCTGAGCCCACCAACTAAGCTTGTCCTCTGGTCATTTCTCCTGTTGCTTTTTTTCCTCTCCTTCCCCTGCCCCCATGTTCTTTTGTATTCCTGACTCCAGAAGCCTAATGTTATCTCTAGGCAAGGACGTGGGGTTAAAGTTAAAGGATTTGCGGCTTGCTGGGAGACCTCTTTGTGCTCAAGAAAGCAATAGTGGCTGTTGAGTCCCCTATGAAAGAGATTCTCCAGGGTCTTTGTTGTCATTTGCATCTTCACATTCTGACATTCTCATATCCATAGGACAGAGTAGAACTACCCCAAAGGGTTTCCTAGGCTGTGATCTTTATGAAAGCAAATTACTAGCTTTCCCCCTACTAGAGCATTTGAACTAAGCCAGTTAAGTTAGTAGTAGGAGAGCACTTAACTACTGAGCCAGTCAGGTTCCTTAATCCATTACCACGGAATCGCTCCCATTACCACGGAATCGCTCACATGATAGATTTAAAAAGGCCTCACCTTTCTTCCGTGCAGCTTCTTGTGGTTTCCAGCTGCAGACCTTTCTGTCAGTAGCTCAACAAGTAATTCACTAAGCCACCACTCCTTAAAAAAACAGGCCCACAGCAGTGCTGTGAGTTCTTACTCATAGACTACTGCCTGCTGTGCTGTTGTTAGGTGCCTTAGCGTGGAGTATGACTAATAGCGACCCTGTGAACAACAGGCCTGGATCCTGTCCTATCCTGTGCCATCCTCATCATCTCTGACACACTTAAGTCCATTGCTGCAAGCTGCTGCATCAATCCATTTCTCTGGGGTCTTCTCTTTTGCTGACTCTCTACCTTTCCAAGCATGATGTTCCCTTCCAATGAGTATCTTCTCCTATCAACACGCCCAAAGTATGAGTGTACTCTGGCTGCTTGTTTTCCAAGACATATCTGTTTTTTTCTTTTGCAATCCATGGGATATTCGGTTCTCTTCTCCACCACAACTCAAAGGCATTAATTCTTCTGTCATCCTTATTTACTGTCTAGTTTTCAGTTGCATAGCAAGTGTCTGAAAAGATCACGGCCTGAATCAGGTGCATCTTAGTCTTCTAACTGACATGGAGAGGGCTCTGACAGAAGACTTGCCTAAGGCAATAAGCCTCTTGATTTCCTGACTGCTAGTATCAAGGGTGCTGATAGTGAATCCAAGTAAGATGAAATCATTGATAGTTTTAATGCTTTACCATGATAGTTAGTGCCTGTTGGCCCAGGGGGAGATCGGCTTAAGTCTTTGAGATAAAATGTCAAACTAAGGACTGGATGATTCGTTTGGGGACCACAGGCAGAAGTTACTGGGGTGCTTGGCTTGTTGTTGCCAAATCCGAGAGGTTCTCCATCTCATCTCTCTAACCCACTTCCTCTCCCCGTCCTGCAGGGCCTTGCGCTCCGCGGAGGTGCGGGGCGCCCCCTGGTGGCCGCCTGACCGCAATGCTCAGGCGGCGACAGCAGTGGAGCGGCGGAAGGGGCGGTGTCTGCAGCCGCGGGGCGACGTGGCCATGGCGGACCCTGTGCAGGAGGAGCTCTTGGCCCTGTCCGCGATTTTCTGCGGGCAGGACGAGTGGGAGGTGCTGAGCCGCTCAGGTGACTATCCCCGCGCCAGAGGGTCAGAGCAGCGATCTCTGTGCTCGCTCCGGCGCCCCTCCTCCCTGAGGGGTCCTCACCTCCTTCTGCCACTCCAAATCGGGGCCCACGGTTGGCAGTTGTTTTGTTTGAAATGACACAGTGGGCATGGGGAAATGTTAGGCACCCCTCTAAAACGTGAATAGGATGGTGACAACTTCGCAGCTCTGCAGTGAACCAAGTCTCTCGCGGGCCAGTCTCTGCTTTGCTTGAGCTGTGTGCTCCCCGCTTGCCTTCATCGGCCAACATGTTTATCCTTCAGATTTCACCTTAAAAAGGCCTGTCCTGACGTCCCCAAATTGCGTTATAAACGGCTTAATAGCACCCACTACAGTTTTAACAATATATAAGTGTTTGTTTTTTTAAATTGAATGGAAGCAAAGATCTTGCCTGCTTTGTCATAATAAAACCACAAGAACCTAGTACAGGCACATGGTCAGCTGTCAGTTTTCTATCTTACTGCTGACCAGTCAGAATGAACTCATAGCTGATTTTGAGTTTCTGAGGCTGTAAATTGAACTGGAAGAAATTGCCCGTCATTCTCTGGTCCAGCTGCTGGTGAATTTGAACCGCCAGAGACACATGGTCTTTGAGGAAGCTGCACGACTTCTATGAACTACGCCCTCAGAGCTCAGCTCTCTCGTAGTCAGTAAATGAATGAATGAATGAGTGAATTAGGTCAGTGCGCATCAACGCACCATTTGTGCAGCCCCCAACTGTCCAGTCCTAGAGGTGTGTAATGCTGTGATATTTCAATGGAGCTTCCCCACTAAGACAAACTACGGAGAAAGGCCTGGTGGTCTACTTTTGAAAATCAGCCTTGAAATCCTGTGAATGCTAAGTGGTCCAATCTGTATGCTGGGGGGTGGGGGGAGTTCAGTTACCCTGGGGAGTTTCCAACCTTTGTATACTGGGGATGGGGGAGCATTAACAGATGAGCACGAGTCAAGGGTAGCTAACAATTTCTTGAACCCCTTGCTTCCATGTTGATGCCTTATTTCTGTAGTTGTTAGTCCGCTGAAGTATGGTCACCAATTATAGGTTCTTCTCATAAAGAACATTAATTCACTCAGCCCACATATTTTAAATCCTTCCCTCTTATCGACATTATTAGAGGCTCAACTGTGAGAAGCACCAGTCCTGTCCTCTTGAAGCTTACAATTTAGAGATGTTCTTCTTTAGTACTTTTTTAGTAATAGTCAAATTGTATTCTGTCCTAATCTGTGGTGAAAGATTAAAATTAAAACAGCCCCTATAGTTCTCAGCTGAATTAAACTCAGGTTTCTATAGTTCTCAGCTAAGTTAAACTCAGGAATTTTTCCATTGTCCC